ACATATTGTGCCATTTGATAACTTGGCCCAGGGAGAAGATCAACAACAGTTGGTCGAGTTGTCAATGCGACGCAATGCCGAGATTCAAGATTTGGTGACGAGACACTCGATGGAAAAACGGATGATGCAGGAATCGATTGATAGGTTGCGGGGCAAACTGAACTTGGCCAGGGAGAAAAGCAGACGGAGTAACGAGCGAATCGCATCCATTAACAAGAAGCTCGTAGCATCACACGACCAACATGAACGTTTGCAAGCAGATTTGGAAAAGCAGAGATTCAAGCGTGGGAAAGCGAACAGGTACTTATCGGAAAGAGGAGGATTAATGCTCGCGGCACGTCGCTGTATTTCCAACTGTGGCCCAGGTGGCATTGGTGTAGTACGTGGGATTGATCTTTCAGGCCGATCTGTCAGAAACTGGGAGGTGAAACTTCGCAATGCGCAGATAACGTCTTTCAGGAGTTGGAATAGGGATAACCATCGACGTCAGAGTGAACTGAACAGTGGATTGAGTATCATCAGGTGCTGTTGCATTTTTCTCGCGGGGACAGTTTCTGCTACAAGGTGCCGCGCGTCGACGCGACTTCGACGCCAGTCGATCGAAGCACAGAGATAAATCGAGAGCCGTGCACCTGGGACAGCACTCGCTCAAGACATCATGAAGGAGACGGGCAAGGGAGGGGGGGGAGAGAGAAAGGAGGCTTGAGCATAGACTATGGCAACGCGGAGACATCACCCGAAACAATGCCCCTCACCTTCCCGTGCGAGCACACACAGGTGCTGTTGCATTTTTCTCGCGGGGACAGTTTCTGCTACAAGGTGCCGCGCGTCGACGCGACTTCGACTCCAGTCGATCGAAGCACAGAAATAAATCGAGAGCCGCGCACCTGGGACGGCACTCGCTCAAGACATCCCAAACCCGACAAGGGCTACCCGAGCCCTCGAGGTTCCCAGGGACGGGCGGGGCAGGGCATCAAAAAAACGAGAAAGCAAGCTAAAAACCCCACGCAGGCGGGGCAGAAGGCCGGCGTCAGCCAGACACAAAAGAGGCAATGCGATCACGCTCATGCGACAGCAACGTCTGGACCATGGCTTTACACAAGGTAGGGGGGTAAGAAGCTGCAATGGCCGTCCACTTTACACCTGATGGCGCGGCTCCTTCCAGTACGAAATGCTTCCTACCCGTGCGACTGCACACCCCTGAGCTCCCTTTACACCTACGATCGAATTTCATCGTATCGGGCATGTCTACGAAAAAGAAGGCAAGCTCTGTGCGTTTCCGCCATCAACGTCCGAACTGGCACTGGTCAAAAGACCTAGTGTGGCCTCTAAACCTTTCAAGGAGACCTATAAGCTCAGGGGTGTGCCAAATTCTTGCATTGACTGGATGCTCAAGGATTGTTGGAACCTGACATCTACACAAAGCTCATTGAATCTGCAAGGCACACCGAAAGACTTTGTTGCCGCGCTCAAGGCGCTCACACTGACGTCAACTCGTTAGCATCTAAGCCCCGCGGCTGCAGCCTCGAACGGACGGGGCCGTGTCTGCCTCGGTCCGCCGCCCCGCCCCAAGCATCGCACGGCGGGCCCAAGACGGCACCCAACACTTCCTTTCGTGCTATCGCCGCCGTCACACACGTGATCACTCTGGGCGCTGTCAAGTCCTCGCGGGGCCCGCGGGCACGATCGCACGCGCGAGCGTTGCAACCCTGCTGGACCGCGGCCCGCGCGACGCCGCCTGTCCCCGAGTAGAGGTCGAGGATGTAGCGGCCTCTGAAATGCCCCGCCAAGGGGGCGCCACGCCGTGCGGTCTGTCGCAGAGTATGTCCTCGAGCGCTCCCTCACATGCCTCCAGCAGCTGGCGCACTCCGACTGGAAGAAGCTCCCAACTCTCCCCCGGCCTGGCGCCCTTCTCGCACCGCCGGACACTCTTGATGCTTGCCCACTGTCCGCGACGCTGTGCCTCGGACACCGTCCGATACCTCCTCGCGATGTCGATCGAGGGTCCCGAGTGCCGCGTCTGATACGGCACTATCGTCTCTGTGATGCCGAGCTCGGTCAGCGAGGTCTTGAACTCCTGGAGATGCTGAGGATACGTGAAGGTCCAAACCGCCTCGTCCTTCGGCCCGCTGGCCAGTGCCCTAAGGACGGGGCCCATGAATTGCAAGTAGGGCGAGTCCATCTCGATGCTGACGTCGCTGAGGTTGGTCTTGCTCCGCTCGATCTGCTGAGAAGGGAAGAGCAGCAGGCTCCAGAACGGGGAAATGCCAGCAGCAGGCGCAATAACGCCACGCGCCTTGAGGCCCATCAGCTCGTTCGGCCTCAGGTAGCTGCTGAGCGAGACCAGGAGGAAGACCGCCATCTGCAAGAGGTTGCGCTCGACTAACCTCCAAGCCACTCCAGCCCGCAAGGCTAGGGGCCAGCTGCGCCTGCTGCGGCTAGGGGCCCGACGCCGCCAGCCTTTCAGGCAGCGAAAGGCCCGGGGGAGCTGGCGGCGGCCAGCCCGCGAGAACTCCGGCGCCAAGCACATCGGGCCAGCAAGGATCTGCCCCCCTTTGTTGGCATCCCAGCCTTTGAAAAAGAGGAAATTGAAGTACTCCACCAGCACGCCGTCGACTTGCTCGTCGCGCACCAGCGGGCGCTCTCCTACGAAGTCCGTGAAGCCCGCCACCTCGGTCTGGTACCGCTCCAGCACCCTGGGCGTCACCGAGCTCTCCTCGAGGAAGCTGCTGAGACCCCCGGCTGCGGTCGCCAGGGCAGTGTCCAGGAACTTGCGCCTCCTCTGGTGGCCCGTACGCCGCGGCACTGCCCTCCGCGCGGCGCCAGGCCCTGGCCTCTCCTCGTCGCCGGTGCTGCTGCTCTCGACGACGTCTGCCAGCGCGGGCTCGCGCCTCAGGCGATCCTCGCTGTCGGGGAGAGTCAACTCCTGCCGTCGACAGCTCAGCCTGTCGCGCAGCACCAGCTGGACATCCTGCGGCCGCAAGGTGGCCTTTCTCTGGTTGGCCAGCTGCCCGTGCCCTCGCTGGCACTTGCTCGATCGAGGCTCCGTCGGTGGTAGGGTCGCCTGCCGCTTGCTGGGAGGCATCGCCTCTCTGACTGCAGGAGTCGGAACGATCACAGAAAGTGCATGGCAAAGCTTGAGACGAAATGTCTACGCACCTGCCGATGGGGAACAGCAGCAGCGGGAACAGCGAAATTACATCGGTTCGGGGACTGCGGGCATTTCGAAGTCTCCTTTAAACTGCTGCCTTTGACACTCAAAAATGCAGGAATATCATATACCAAGGTCTTACTGGCACTGCTATTCTCGAAAATCCTCGCACCCTTATCCGAGAAGCTAAATTCGGAAGGGATCCAGCGCACAGCCCCTAAGACGTTTCTGGCCAGGCAGTGGGCCTGGACAACGCGGATCTGAACAGAAAGCAAAAAGTTTTTGGCGCGGCTTCGGCCGAAAGCGAGGGTGACCGACATATTGTCGCACAACAGAAGCTGCCTCATGTCACACACTTGCGAGCTAGTTACAACACGAATGAAGCCTCTGACTAGGGCGCGAGCCTCCTTAACCAAGATCCCCTCAGAACGTTGCCACTTTTGCACTGTCACCAGACGCCGCAGATCTGACTTCAAAAGGCTAGCAGGCACCTCGGGAAACGAGAGATCTACTTCCCAATCCGGTGCCTCTTCGGAGGCAGCACCCTCCTCATCAAAACTTTCGGCGGCGGCAACTGCCCAGCTGCCGTCCGCCTGCTGACTGAAGCCGGCTGTCTCGAGGGCACTCTCCCGCGCTCGGTGGGAACCCACGCGGCGGAAGCGCTGCCGCTCGGAGGTGCGGCCCACCCCCCGCACGGCCCGCGCGGGCCAGAGCGCCTGCGCCGCCGCGCCCCCCTCGAGGCTGCTGTCGGTCTGAACCGCCAGGTCATTCCAGCAGCGCAGCCAGTCACTGAGCATGAAGATCATGAGGGACTCGAAGGCCTGCAGCTCGGAGCGGCACTCGTCCCACAGCGGCTCGGCTCGGCCCGGAGTGCGACCTCGCTCCACGAAGGCGTATACCGAATGGAAAATGCCTAGCAGGCCTCGGCAGCACAGAGCGGCGAACGTGCAGTGGCCCAGGGCGACCTCTAGCGCCCACGCACTTGCCCGACGGCGCCGCAGCAGCGCGCCCAGCGACTGGTATATGTTCCAGAAGCGCTTGGGCGTGACCCGAGTCCGCAGCGCCGTCCCGTCGAGCTCCGTGCCAAGCGCGATGATACTGCCGCGCGTCCGCTCCGACTTGTGCAGCAGTAGCCCCTCGCGGTTGAAGCCCTCCTCCAGCCGCTCGAGCGCCTCACCTACTGCAGCCTCGCAAACACCTATCACTCCGAGGTTGTCTACGTAGACGTAGTGACTGGGCGCTCCGCGGCCCTCGGCCAAGGCAGGCCTTACCACCAGCGGCGGCCCGCGATCGTGCAGAGGGGATCCAGGAAGGGAAGGCGCAACCTTGGTCACAGTAGACTCGTTGATCCTCTGGGCGATCCACAAGCTCCAGGCGGAGTGCATGGGGGGCACGGCCCAGCAAAGCGCGCCACTGCCTCCGCGCGGCCGAGGACTCGCCCGTTTACCTCCGCGCCCGCCGCGCCCATTACGTGAGCCGGCGCGGGAGGGAGGCAGAAGTAGTCTGACAACCAGGCTGGCACGCGCGACCTGTGAAAGCAATTAGACACATCCGAGAGGCCGATCGAGAGGTACAAATCCCCCAACAGCTTTGCGGCCCCTTCTCCACCGTGAAGAGGCCCACCTGACATTTAGGCGAGCTGGTCCAGGTAATAATGCCGATGTCTGTCAGACGACGGAGGAGCCGATGATATGTTTTCTGATTGAAACGTAGCTTGGAATCAAAGTAGGGAATCGTCTCATACTTCTCAACAGGCGGCGCCAACATACGCTCATGATATAGTCCTCCAGAAACCCAATGACCTCAGAGGGCGCCACGTCGGTTATCAGCGGACACCCTCGAACAGAACCTGGGAGGCTCAGAAGGTCGAGCTTGAAGGACGTGACCCTTGTCGGACAGCCCGCCGCCTGATACGGGGAATGTCCTTGAAGCAACTTCTTGAGAGCCGCCTCGTCGCTGAGTTGCGGAGGGCGCGGGCGCCAGCTGTCGACCAACTCACACGCCCTCCGCTGAACGTCCACCTGCACATCGTCGGGTAGCACGTCCGGGCCGCGATCCGCCCACAAAAACTCCTTCCAGCCCGCCATCCAGCTCAGTGCTTTCAGCGCGTCGTTCGCCATTCCTAGGCGACCGCGGCCGCGCCCGGGGCGCACCGAATCCAGCGGCAGGAGAGGAAGCGGAAACAGGCTTCGCTGTCCCCGCGAGGCCGCCAGTCTGGGGCGGCCGCCAGCCCCCTGAAGCCGACCAAGGTCGGGGGACCCCCTGGCCGGCGGGGCCGTCATACAGCCCCGGGGGCGCCGGCGCCGCGGCCTCGGCCTCTGCCGCCGTCGCCGCGTCCACGACCGCCCCCGCCTCCCTTGTCCTCGCCTCCAGCGCCCCTGCCGGCGCCACCGCCGCCACCGGCGCCGAGGTCGCCCTCCTGCGCGCCCGAGGGGGCGCCGCGCAGCGCCTGCAGGCCTTCTCGATCCTCGCGTATCTTGCGCGCCACGTGGGCCCGCAGCAATGGGCCAGCGACGTCCTCGGCCGACTGCACGCCCGCGTAGTACTTCGCCACCTCCCACTGCACGCGCTGTGGATTAGCGTGCGCCGCCACGATGCCCTCCAGTCGCTTGCAAAAGACTTCCAGCGCCATCAGACCGCCCAGATTCACCTGGTCGTAGCAGCCCGCCATGTACAAAGCCTCGCATATACAACGTAACTCGTGGGCGACGCGGTCCGCGCTGGCCAGCCCCTTCTCTCGAAGGTACTCACGTAGCCAGAGCCTCGGATCGCCGCCCACCCTCAGCATACTCTTACAAGTAGTGAGCGCACTCGGGGGGGCATCCATCGGCTGGTCGCTGAACTCCTCCTGGCTACTTTCATGCACCGCCTCGCGCCGAGGCTTGAAGCGCTCGCCCTGGCCGTCGAAGTCCACCGCCAGCAGCCTGACGTCCTCGCTCTTGATCGGCGCCGCGGCGGCCTCCCCAACCTGGGCGGGCGCCTCGGCGGGCGGCGGCAGAGGCGGGCGAGCCAGGCGATCACGAAGGTCCGCCTCGGCGCCCGCTCCCGGCAGCCACAGGCGACGGCGCAGCTCGGCGGTGCGAGTGTCGGCATACTCGGGCACGTCCTCGACTGGCATCCGCCTCGCCCTGGCGAAGCCGTCGCCCACGAAGATCAGCCCCGAGGTGTCCGACGCGCCAACGAACGTCGACTTGCGGATGTCCACCTCGCTGCCGATGGCAGCGGAAAGGACGGGCTCCGCCAGTGCCCAGGCGTGCCCAGCAAGCAGCGGCAGCGCGTCAGCCGCAGGCTCCTCCGCCTCCGTAGCCTCGGGCGTGGCCGCACCGCCAGGGGCCACCTCGGGCCTGGGCCGCGCGACCAGAGCCGCGGTCAGCGGCTTCTTGCCTCGAAGCCTCACTCCCGGCGCGGGCGGGAAGCTGCCGCCGAAGAAACGCTCGATCGGCATCAGCTCGCCAGCGGGCTCCTGCACGCGCTCGGGCACCACGGGACGCTGGCCAGGGCGGCACTCCGCCTCGCAAGCCCTACGGCCCCGCAGGATGCCCTCTCGCAGCTCCAAGGCCCCGACCCGCTCCGCGAAGCGGTACAGCTTACGCCGCCCTCGGCCTCTAGCCCCAGGCGGCAGCGAGCCATCGGCGGGCAGCAAGCGGCAGCGCACTGGGCCGTCCGACGCGTCCTGGCAGGCCACGTCCTGGAAGTACTCATCGCCGTCTGGTGTTCGAATCCACCAAACTCCGCCGCCGAGAGGATGGAGCAGGATCCTTTCGTGATCTACGTCGTCGCCTTCGTACTCCATGGCCACGTACTGGCCGGGGGCCAGGTCACTGTACCACTCCACCTCCTCGCCGAATGGGAGGAGCGCCATGTCTCACCGCAGCGGATCGGCCACGCCCACACCAGCGGCTCGCCACGAAGCCCAGGAGGTTGGTGAGCACGGGGGGAACGAGCAACCACACGGCCTGCTCTCCAGGCGATGGGCCCTGCAGCTCTACCCGCGGGCACGAGCAGGCTGGGCAGGCCGGGCACTGGGGCGCCACTGGGCACGCCGCCTCCAGCCAAGCAGGCGAGCCCTCGGGCTCACCACGGCCCAGCGCCGCGCCAGCGTCGCGCGGCGGCGGCGGGGGCGGCGGCCCACCAGGCCCGAGCAGCCCCTCGGGCAGCAGCCCAACCTCGGCGGCGCGCCAGCCCGCCCAGGCGAGGGCCACCGCGAGGACCGCGATCGGGGGCCGGCCGTCGGCAGGGCCCATCGACGCCTCTGACGAGAGAAAGGAGGCTTGAACATAGATTATGGCAACACGGAGACATCACCCGAAACAGTACCCCTCACCTTCCCGTGCGAGCACACACATGCTTCGGAAAAGGTCAGACGCAACGAACGCTGCCATATGGCAGCGTCAAACATTAAATGTAACAGAGCTGCTGACTGGATTCACGAGATGCCCCGTGTGCTCCGACTCCAGCCCCGATCCCAAAGATCACGCATTGGATTCGCGAAAAATCATTACCCCACTGCAAGTGATGAAGTACGGGAAGGGCCCAGGAATGTTAGGCATGCTGGCCAAGCAGCTGCGTGCGGTCAACGGCGAGCCGAGGATTGCGCCAGCATGCCGAATCGGTGGGAATGGTGGGTTGGGGGTCTTGCAGTCCAGGAGGGTTCGGTAGAATGTTTGCCTAGATGAACGGAGGTGGAAGCACGGGGGGGGGTGGGGTGGAGAGCACGGCGGCAATGAGGGGGGGCTAGGTGTTCTTGAAGATGCCCCTGCTCCTCACGGAGCTGGCGCACTTATTCTTGCATCGTCTCTTGCGGCAGCCAGACCAGCTAGCGACGGTCAAGCACTTGCGTCGTATGCGAACCCAGCGCCGTGCAAGTCCCAGTTGATGCTGGTGAGTGGGAGGAGGGAGGACTAAGAGGAAGGATGGGGGGATGCAGGGGAGGAGAGGAAGCTTTGAATGCCAGCCAGGTTCGTTACACCACAGACGGGGGATCAGATATTGCATTCGTTCGGCGGATGGCATTGCGACCTCATGCCAACAACCCCGACATCTGGATTTGCGATCCGGATTGCATGGCGCATGTGTTTCAGTTGTTGACGAAAGGTCTTTTCACCAGCCTCGAGGATATTCAACGGCTGCCGCCACCTCCGCCGACCCCAGTAGCCAAACGAGAGTTCAATTGAGCGCGAAACTTTGGAAAGGAGTCAGGACATCAACTAATCCACATCGTAAGCCAGGGTGCCTCGATCGAGGCTGGCAGATTTTGATGTCGGCATTGGGCGGCGAGCCCAAACGCCGCTACTACTCCACACTTGCTACGATATTGCACGCGTGGCGCGACAACGCCGCCGATATGTTCACTGCGTGGTCAGAAGCATATGGAAGCCGCAGCGCTGTGGAATCGGGGGCCCACCTCGTCCCCCCAAGGCCCATATCGGGCCGATGGGGCCAAAAAAACATATTGCGAACGATACCTGAACCAGAAATATTTCAACAACATGACCACCATCTACAAAAAAATGTGACCACCCGAGGGTATTACAAAGATGCGGAAGAGGCTGCGAAAGATTATGCGGCTGGCAATAAAGGAGCAGGCAAAAAAAGGAAAACCACCTTCCTTGATGATACGCAATCAGACTTGGCCGAGAATTTCAATCAGATCATGGGGAAGTGGGCGAGGGCAGCGACTTCTGGAATTGAGGATCCCAGGTTTTGGATTGGACTGCGTGTATCCCGCAAGCTGTCTAGCGCATTCGATATTATGCTGTGGACAATCCAGAAGGGGGGGGGGGGGGCGCATCGCGGGAGCGAGTGCAACATCGGCTTTGCCAATCTTGCTCCCCTTGTGTTCCACCAAGCAGATGCGATTTACCAGAAGCTGCTGCCGTTTCTGGATTCGAGTTCGTGGTCTGATGTCCTGGAGTTTGCAGCGGCTCATCTCCCGCCAGCTGGGAGAGAGCAGGCGCCCTGGGCCCCTGCCCCCCCCTGAACAGCCGGTGTGTTTTAATGTGTTTTTGGTGATTTCGCGATTGACAAAGGTTTGGAGGTGTGCGTGCGTGGGAGGTTCTCGCTGGTAGATTGTGAATTTCTGCGCTCTGCCCAGGCACTTGTTGGCTTGGAGGATGCTATTCGCAAGTGCGTTATTCGCTTGCTTTCCAACTACAAGCGAAGCGTCCTGGACAGACTTTCGGACTGGCCTTATTCGGCGTTGATATTTGCAGAGGCTCCACCGCACGAAGCTTCGGCAAAGAGGCTCAAATTGGCTATCTCTATCCTCGACGCGCCCGATACCACCTTGCACGGTTTTCGCATCTCAGGTCCTAGGTGTTGAGGGGCCCCAGGGATGTTGCATCGGGTTCAGTGGATGGGGGGCGAGTAGCCAACTTGAGCTCGTTAGGTTAAACAGAAGTTCAGGGACGATCTGGAGGAATGCCGCAGAAGCGAGGGCAAGTGCAGCGTGCCCCTGTACATTGCATGCCATACCATAGCGCAGCACTGGACAGCAGACACTCAGGAGTTGGAGGGTATCATGTCACTTCTAAAGCTAGGTGCTGCAAGGGGGTCGTCTAGGATGGGGCTCGGCTTGCTCGACGCTCGAGTGGGGATTGTCAAGGCCTTGGGGATGGGGGGCAGAGCTACGAAAGGTTTTAAGTATTCTACAGTTGAGCCATCTATCAACGCGCTCATAGACGATGCCAGGGAACACATACAGCTCGCAGATCACATCGATGGGCAAAAAGGTCGATTTGAACCCCCGCAGCCTTACAGAGAGGCAGTGCCAGACGTTCAGGTTGTCCCACCACCCCTACCCAAGGAATGCATGACGTGGGCGTGTTCACAAACCTTGCGGCTGCATTGATTATGAACCGAATCGCTTTTGCTCATGTATGGAAATATGGCAGTACTTTTCACAATAGACGGCCTGGTAGAGCAAGCGTGGGTTGTGCCTAGCTCGTTCAAATGCTCGGAGATGATGGTCAGAGTTCCTGTGGAAGGGGGAGATTGGCACTTCAGCTGGAGACCCCGTCTCGCTCGCGCAGCCGCTCGTTTTCCAGCAGTCCCCACGTGCGTTCTCAACATTCTACGAGGCAGCGGGCGGGATAACATTGAGCACACCCCACAGATTCAGAAACCTGTTTGTCTCCAGGTGATCGTCTTGTGTTCGAAAAGGCCGTGCAGAAATATGCAGAACACCAGCCTCCATCCCCAACCCTCCTCCACACAGGCATGCGTGGGCGCTGGCAAGAGCTACGATGTTACGTTTATCCCTGTGCGTGTCGGCTTCAGCGGCGTGGGTGCCATCATGGATGCCTCGGCGTTGGGCGAGACGGATTTGCCCGCTCCAATCGTGATGGACAGCTCCTTACCCGTGAAACCCAGGAAACCCAAAGCAAAAACAGATGGGCCACTAGCTCTGGAGGATAGGGATGAATTAGGAGAAGCGCTGGAGTGCATGATTGACTCAGCCCATGCAGATGGTCTTGCTGTTGAGGAGCATGACATTCTCGAAGACGGTCGAGGTGATGAGGTGGCTTATGACGAGGTCATTTTTGAAAACAACAACAGGGGAGGGGGTTCGGCGTGAACTTGGCAATTTCACGCCGAACCCCCTCCCCTATTGTTGCGTGCGTATGTGTGCGTGCGTGCGTGCGCGCGCGTGTGTGTGTGTGTGTGTGTGTGTGTGTGTGTGTCTGTGTGTGTGTGCGCGTGTGTGTGTGTGTGTGCGTGTGTGTGTGTGTGTGTGTGCGTGTGTGTGCGTGTGTGTGTTTAGGCATGTGCGCTGCAAGTCCCAGGTTGCGATCTCCCACGCGAAGGAAGGGCGCGATGTGGAGGAAAAGCTCGCCAAGAAATCCAATGGCATCGACTTGGGCACGCACTGCAAAAAACAACCCAGGGATTGAAGGGAAACTTGCAGAGATGCGGGATGCATCAGATCAAAAGGATACGCTGCCAGAGGATGATGTCATCGACCTTTCTATCGTAACTTCGCTGGTGGGCGCAGGGGCTCCTGGTCATGCTAGCCCAGTCGAAAAGCCTCCTGGCGGTTGCCATGTGTTCGCCAAACAATACTGTGAGGATGTTGCCAGGAAGTACTTGAAACACGCTCAGCTTTGCCACGATGAGTTAGGGTATTTCGGCGGGGCGCCGCCCCCAGACAAGACAGTTTCACTCTGCCACTACGTAGAAAGTGGTGGCGTGCCCGTCATTGCTTTCAAGCAATGGGGGCACGTAGGGGGCGCGGCCGAAGCCCAGCGTGTTTTCCTTGACCCCGCCACCAAAGCATTTAAGTATTCGAGAGAGCGTGATCCACCGCCGCTTTACTGTGGAAAATTGCCAACCTTTTCCTCCGGAACCCGGGGTCTCCCCCCCCCCCCCTCCGAAAATCCCCCCCCTGCTGGAAACCCCCCCCCCCCCCCCCCCTCCCCCCGCAAAACCCCCCCTCCCCTCCCCCACCCCCCCCCCTCACTACCGAACCCCTCCGGTTCCCCCCCCCCCCCCCCCCCCCCCCCCCCCCCTGCGGATCCGGAAAACCGGGGGGGGTCACTACCGGTTCGAACCCCCCCCCCCCCCCCCCCCCCCCCCCCCCCCCCCCCCCCCCCCCCCCTAACTCACCGCCAGCAAACGACTCCCGGTCCCCACCACCGTCCGCATCACATCATCACATCCCCCACTGGTGTTCCCAGCACCACTGTCCTCACCACCGCTGTCCCCACTGGTTCCACCACCGCCCCTACTGTCCCCACCAGTGGCCCCACCACTGTCGCACTGTCCCCGCTGTCCCCAGAACTGTTCCCACCACGGTTCCACTCTCCCCACTGTCTCCACGGCCCCAACCACTGCCCGACT